ATGCCTCGATCAAACCTCCACTTTTGACAATCACGGTGTCGGCTTCGATCCCCTTTGCTTGTATGGTTTCCACCACATCTCCAGTAGGTACATGAACAACTTGAGACTCCTTATTGATAACGACCTCCGGAGCTTTGGCTTCTTTCCTCACCCACACCTTCTTTACCTCTTTCACCTTTGATCCACCGGACCGATTCTTTTGTGGAAAACGGTCTTGTCTTGGGTTAGAATGACTTGGTACTGACCTAGGTGATTGCTTCCATTCCTGATGACACGGCATAGATGGTTGAGGCATCCACGACATGTAATACATAAAGGGATAACCATATAGTGACATTGGATATGGATACCATGGCATCACAACCGGAGGTTTGTATGGAGTTGGTATAGTTGATGGCTCTGATTGCTTTGGTGTTTGACCAAATCTCTTCCTACGAGATGATCTTGGTCTTTTTGAATCACTAGTTTGGTTATCAAATCGTTGACCGGCTAATCCTTTCTTGTACTTAGCCATAAGCATCTCAAAAGCGAGCTTCGGCTTTTTGGTCTTTTGGGAACTAAATGACTCATCTTTTGTAACCTTACGATATTCGGCCTTTGCATTATTGATCCTATTCTTGGGCCGAAGATCCCCAATAACAACACTTTTCCCTTTCTTTTTGTCAACATCAGTAGGACTAATAGGGAGAGGATCACTAACAATTCCGGTCTTAAGCATAGGTGTAACCGAAATCGTTTCACAAGTGACCGATGAAGTATCAATCGGTCTTTCTCCATCAAGCTTGCATCTTTGAAATAATCATGAAACTCATGCTCCATTTATGACCATGTAGAAATTGAATTAGGAGCAAGCAAACTATACCATGTAGATGCAAAGTTTGACAAAGAAAGGGGAAACAACTTCAACTTAAGCAAATCATCGCTACCGGCCTTACCACATTGATCAATAAATCGGCCGATATGCTCCATTGTTGTTCTAGCATCCTCACCTGTGAATTTCGTGAAGTTGGGCACCTCAAATCCTTGCGGGTATGGGACCGAATCTATGTGTTCAGGATACGGCCTTTGATATATATGCATAACTATTTTAGATTCTATCTCACTACTATCCCGCAAGACATTATCATTATCTTTTCCAACATCCATATGACCGATTTGTGATTCGGTCTTAGGTGACAATGCTATTTCACTTTCGCTTGTGATATAATCCGAACCGTCACTTAGTTCGGCTATATTTTCAATGATGTCATTGTCTAAACTAGCAACACAATCCGAACCACTACTTGATTCGGCTATTCCATCATCGTTTAAACTAATAACACAATCCGAACCGTTGCTTGGTTTAGCTATAATGGTTGTTGCATCATTATCCAAGCTAGCAAGACAATCCGAACCAACATTTGGTTCGGCTATACTTATTATGGCATCATTGCACAAATTATTAATACAATCCGAACCATCGCTTGGTTTGGCTACACATGATATTGCATTTTCGTCTAAACTAGCTTGTAAGCTATTATCATCCACTCGGCTTTCCTAAGCCAGAGCTTCATGCAACACATGATCAACATCAAGAAATATCTGGCCATTCAATTTCTCTTTAATAGAATCAAGCAATCCATCATATGCAATGTTGGCCAAATCTTTGTCAGTTATTTTCAAATTGAAACATCGGTTTTTAACATCTCTAAACCTTTCAAAATAATCAGCAATGGATTCATTGTATTCATGCCTAACCGATGTTAAATCAGATAACTTAAGCTCAGTTTCATTAGTGTGAAAATAATCATAAAATTTTTGTTCTAATTAAGCCCAAGTATCAATAGAATTTGCCGGTAAAGAAGTAAACCATGTAAAAGCAGTACCGGACAAAGATAAAGAAAACAAACGTAATTTAAAAATATTACTATTAATCCTACCACATTGCGCTAAGAATTTATCTACATGCTCGCATGTAGTCCTACTATCCTCACCACTAAACTTGGTAAATTCAGGAATTTTATAATCACGAGGATATGGGAAAATGTCATAATAATCAGGATACGGCTTTTGGTACTCCCTAGCGCGATTCCTTAGCTTTGCTAAATTCTCCCTGATAATATTTCTAAACCAATCCTCCACAGTTTCAGGCCTTGGTGGATCTGGTGGTGGACTTGGTGGCCTAAAAGGTGGTTGTTGCGGCACAATATTGTTATATTGGCCATACCTAGTATCGGGAGGATATCCCCTATTAATATCATTGTAGGCATTAGGGATATGTGGAGTAGCATGACTAACAGTATTAACAGGTGATGAATAATAATTAAAATCAATATTGCTAGTCGTGGTATGAAAACCTGGAGAAACTCCCAGGGAACCGATCTGACCGGCCCATGGCCCGGTCTGACCGGTGGTCAGTGGTGCGGTCAGACCGGCCACAGGAGGTCCGATCTGGCCAGAATAGGGTACAGTCTGACCGGCTATGGTAGGCACGGTCTGACCGGCATAGGACGCGGTTAGACCGGTGTCATGACCGGTCATACCGTTAGCTAGGTTTTGCATATAGCCGATTCCTGTGCAATCGGCTGTATAATCACCCATTGACCCCCCGTAGCATTATAAGCATATTGTATAGGAGCAAAACTAGAAGTAGCATATGCATCTACACAATGGTTATTAACGTTTTGAATAGCAAAGGACGGGTTGGGCGAATCGAAGGTTACCTTTGGTGAAATTACAACTTGAGGTAGCGGGACGTTTCCTTTCATGATGCCTTGATCGGTCCTAATGTATTGTGTAGCAATATTGTTGAACCCGTTCCCGCTCGTCAAAGTTGATGAAGAAATTCCTTGATTAAATCCGGTCATATAGCTCATAGCCGAAATATTGTCGACCGAATAAATTAATATACGGTCTTAGAATTTTTTCCTTGTATGCTAATGTGCTTAGCAAAAGATTGGAGAGTTTGAAGCTTCACAGAAATAACCGATACAGTGAATTGGTTTTGATTTTTTTTTCTAATGTGAACAGTAATAGATCAGCTTGGATTGTTTTACTAATACAGTAGTTGATAACAAATACCGATACTACTGCTGCTCGTACCTGACTTGATCCAGCGAATAACCGATACAAATATGAATCGGCTTTTGTGTTTTCTGATCTTTTTTCTCTAGAACACGTATGGACAACAAACCGAATAGGATTGGTTCCTAATTTTCCAGACCGTGTACAACAAGCTGCTGCCGGCCTCCTATCGCTGTCTCCACACGCGGGCGGGTGTAGATCGGTTTCGGCTGTATGGCCGAAACACCTGGATAGAAGAGAATCAATGAAGCAACTGCAGCGATTAGCGTGGTAGATTGATTTTCGGCCGGTTGAAAGGCCAAAAAAATTCACGTCCCCAGCCGATTGAAACAGGTTCGGTGAGGGCGGCTGCGATGACAACCAACGGCGGCAGAGCAGTACACAATTACTTGACTGGCTTCAAAGGAAAGTGGCACTGCTATACGACGACGTCGGCGATGGTATAATGCGTAGATCAATTTCGGCTGTTTAGCCGAAACTCTCGATTTTGACGAAACAGTAATTTCTAGATTAAACGAAATTCGGCCGTGATATGGCCGATTAGATCGTTCCCCAGTGGAGTCGCCAAAAATCATGTTGGTAACCTTTTTGATAAGTCGACAAGCACGATGTGTTGTGTCACCCGTGTGTTCACAGTAAAGGAGATTAATCCAGTCTCATAGCGCGCGAGTTGGAACAAAGGAAATTAATCTGAGTAATAATCTTTTCGGTTAATTTGAGTCGTAGTCGGTTAGCCGTGTTGCGTGGAGTTTCCATGTAATTTTTACATAGTACGTTCGGTGTTTAGAAGTGCTCATATACGTGTTGATAATTTTTTTGATAAGTCGACAAGCACGATCGCAACACCTAAACACCTTGCGGTGATATGGAGTCGCCAACCACCTCGATCTAGCCAAAGGGCCAAATCAAGATGGGTTTTGCAAAAAGAAAAGCTAAACCGGCTAGCGGAGCCGATTTAGATATCAAAATCAGTTTCTAGGCCGATTTAGATCGATATGAGGATAACTACCCGTCTCGTGGGCAAAACGGAAGGTTTTCAGGACAAACCTACAAAGAGGTGTCGCACTCTCGCAGCGGCGGCGGACGGTTTACGGCGCAAACCGACAAAGATGGACTAAACTAGGGTAAAATAGAAAACATAGTAAAAGAACGATTCAAGTAGATTGTATTGGGGGGTTTTACAATGAACCGGCCTTGTCCCTTAAATAGGGGTTGGTCTTGTCCTCTACAGGCCCTTCTCCACATCCAACTCAGGATAGAAACCAAAGAAAACACGAAACCTGCCTTCCCGAGTAAGGAAACCCGTCACTTTCCAAACTTTGGCAATTTTCCCCTATTTCGTCCATAGGTGCTAAATTTGGGTGTAAACAATACGTTCCATGTAATAGGTCAATTAGGATCCCCGAATAAATTATCAATCTACTATTGTTTTTCTTTTTTTCTGTTATTTTCAGTTTTTTTTTCCCGCCGTCACGTAATTTGGTTAGGCTGTATCATTTTGGGGAAGCGACATATATGTGGTCCCATATGTACCGTTTCTTCATTTGTTTCACACGTGGAAGCTTGGGCAGATGAGAAATATCTCATATGTGTTGTTGTGTAGTAGTAGTAGTAGTGAGCTCCAACCTGGAAGTTTTGACTCTAAATTATTTAGTGTTTTCAATACATTATCTTGAATAAGTTTAACAAATTAAAAATAATAAGAATGATTGGTAAGTATATATATATCAAACATGCTATTATCATTTAATACTCAGTACCGCCATGATCCAAAAAAAAAAGCATCACATCAAGCAAATCATGCTCCATAAACAATTTAGTGCATGATGCATCATTATCAAAAACTATATAATTACACAGTTAATAACATATCTCTGACATTCTGAGCTAATGAGCTATACCTCTGACCAACTATAAATACCACCTCGCTCCTCAGAGTCCAAACACAACTCACACACAGCTCGTATTTTCCTAGCCCAGTAGCCCACTAGCCGGCATGGAGAAGAAGCGGGTGGTCATCGTCGGCGCCGGCGTGAGCGGCCTGGCGGCGTGCAAGCAACTGCTGGAGCGCGGCTGCCGGCCGGTGGTGTTCGAGGCGGACACCGGCCTCGGCGGCGTGTGGGCGCGGACGCCGGAGTGCACCGCGCTGCAGACGCCGCGGCCCATGTACCAGTACTCCGACTTCCCGTGGCCGGAGACGGTGACGGAGGTGTTCCCGGACCACCGCCAGGTGATGGACTACCTCGGCGCCTACGCTCGCCGCTTCGGCGTGCTCGACTGCATCAGGTTCGGCCACCGGGTGGCGGGGATGGAGTACGTCGGCGTCGGCGAGGAGGCTGTGGCGGCGTGGGATGAGTGGGCTGGGAACGGCGACGCTTTCGGCTCCGGCTCCGGCGAGTGGCGGCTAGAGGTGGTCGACGGTGAGGGCCATATTGAGGTGAGAATTTCGCTACTACTACATCCATTTTTTAAACAGACGACGCCGTTGACTTTTTCTCATATGTTTTACCATTCGTCTTATTTAAAAATTTTATGCAAATGTATAAGATATAAATCACATTTAAAGAACTATGAGTGATAAAGCAACCCATAACAAAATAAATTATAATTACGTAAATTTTTTGAACAAGACGAATGGTCAAATATGTGAGAAAAAGTCAACGGCGTCATCTATTAAAAAAAGGAGGGAGTACTTTGCATGGAGGAAGTTTCCAAATTTGCATTTATCATATTGTTTGGCCTACATTTATGACACATAACAAACTTATTGGAAAAAAATAATTTATAAGTGGAAGCTTTATACCTGCGTCATTAACGATCTAAAAGCCAATAGTAATAAAAATAGACTGTAATAAAAATCTGGAAAAGGGTACGGTCAATAAAGCTGAATAAAATAATATTTATTTTCATTTTGTCAAAAATTATATGTAAATAATTATTAAAATAAATACTCTTGTGCAAAGGAATTTTCCTAAATTTGTATTTCAAACTTTTTATGTAGGCATAGAATTTTGTCTTTGATATTTGAAGTTCTGTCAAAATAAGTTACGATTTTATCAACAGTTCGAAAGCTACACTTATTATTTAAAACATGTAGGCGGACACTTTAATTAATTTATTTTACCGCGAGCAATCAAAATCATATGTCAGCAGAGAATGTTCGCGTCGCTAGTAGGAGATATTTATCAGTATGGAACAATTTGTGTTTCTACTAGGAGAAAAGAGACGCATAGCGCCAGGAACAAGGGAAAAAGGTCGGGGCGCCGCATCATATCATTTTGGATAGGCATGGACAGAGGCAGAATCCGATGTGATTCAATCAGACGAGCAATCTTACACAGAAACACAGTAAGGGCATGCTTAGATCTCACCTCAATCCAACGTGGTGCTACAGTCTACAGCAAACATGTGCTAATGATAAATTAATTATGTTTAATAAATTCATCTGCTAGATTACTGACGGATACTGTAATTAGTTGATTTGTTAGTATCAGAACACCCTATGCAACACCCTATATAATACCTGACGTGATACAGTAAAACTTTACCCCCTAAATCTAAACACCCCCTAATCTAGACTAGCTAGGTGGCACCCTTTGTGCATGGGCATGAAATGCAGGCCTGGGCCAGGCTAGTATGACATCTGCACCCTAATAAAGAAACATTATATGACACATCTTATAGTAACCTTTTTTATTGAAATGGAGGGAATAAATATATCGGCTCATGAATTTATTTATATGTTAAATAAATAATAAGCAGCATGATGGATTACCATTTATTTAACCTATAAGCAGTTCACGGATCGACCTACTTATACCCTAAAACTATTAATATAAATGTTGCAGCTAGCATTTAAAATTTATTCATTAATATGTATAATTACCTAAAACTATTATTTATCAACCAGTCATCTTTATCCCATCCATCTTCCACTTATATTCATCCTTTATTTAATAACAGATATTAGAGTAGTTTCTTATCTGTTCAAAATATTTATATTCGCGGATGTAGGGAGTACATATAAATATCATTGTGTGGCACAGACGCACAGTGCTTTGGTTTATAGGTTACATCCACTGTTAGAAAAAAAGCATTTTTCCTGATGTGCGGGTCTTTTTTTCGCAGTCGAACATGACCCTTGGAGCCAAATGACCGTCTACAAAAATATAAATCGGGGTAAAGTTGGACCACTTAAGCGGCGCCTGTGAAAATGATTTTCGCAGGCGGACCACTTCAGCGACGCCTGCGAAAATCTATTTTCATAAGCGCAACTTATATGATCCGCCTGCAAAAATCGTACCTACCCATAAAAAATCTAGTCATCCTTATCCTCTCCTCTCCACCACTCATTTCCCTCCCCCTCCTCTCTCTCTCACTCAGAAAAAAATCCTCCCAGCAGCCTCCCTCCTCCCCGCCTCCACCGTCGGCTCCCTCCTCGCCACCGGCGGGCTCCCTTCTCGACGATGACGACGATCACGATGCCGCCTCCGCGCGCCGCCGGCTCCCCTCCTCGCCGCCGGCGTGCTCCTTCCTCGACGACGACGACGACTGCGACACCGCCTCCGCGCGCCGACGGCTCCTTCCGCCGCCGGCCACGCCGAGCGACGACAACGGCTCTCCTCCTCCGCTAGCTTCCCTCCTCGCCCCCTCCGTCGCCGGCCATGACGAGCGACGACAACGGCTCTCCCCCGCCGCCGCTGGCATCCCTCCTCGCCGCCTCCGCCGTCCGCTTCTCCTCCTCGCCCCCTCCGCTGCCGGCCACGACGAGCGACGACAATGGCTCGCCTCCTCTGCCGCCCGCTTCCCTCCTCACCGCCTACGCCACCGGCCACGACGGGCGACGACGACGGCTCGCATCCGGCCGCCGGCTCTCCTCGTCGATGCAACGACGATGACGACGGCACTTATGCAGCGGCTCGGCTCCTCCCTCTCCTATGTGGGAGCAGTGGATGGAGGAGAGCCGTGGCCGGAGGGTGAAGCCCCGCCTGCGAAAACTGTTTTGGACCGCCTGGAAAAAATCTTTTTCCTAGTAGTGATCTTGTCTCGTTGTTATCGTTTTATTAGGTTAGAAACCATCAGTGCGATACATAAGAAAGTTGACATGTACTTATATGGTTTTTACGGCAGTTTGGCACTATTATATATCCTACTAGTGAAACCGCAATATAGAAAATGAAATAACCTAAAGCTTCAACAAATATATCCCCTAGGTATATAGGCCATCAAACGTACTCCCTCCATCCCAAAATATAAGCATTTTTAGTTATGAATCTGGCCAAAATATAAGCATTTTTAGCTAATCCAGATTCATTGCTAAAAGTTGTTACATTTTGAGACAAGTTAATTAAAGAAATTAAGTGGTAATAGTAATTGATGCAGCTACTTTCCTTAAGAAAAAAGTAAAAGCCGTAACTTCCTTCGAAATCTATTTTTTCATCCTAAGTTACAAAACCAGTTCTCTCTCGCTTTCAACTTTTAAGAAACAAAAGCACATGACACCATAAAACATATTTCAACGTTGATCAACGTTAACGTGGTTTGATCAAGGTTCCAGTGGTTTTCACCTTCAAACTTTTAAAACCTACTAACATTTACTATACCCTGAAACATATTTCAATATGCTTTCTATTGATATGGAAGTGGTTTGAAGTGTTTAAAGTATGTTCGCATGTGGATGATGGGAACATACTGCCTCCGCATGGAAAACGGAGCGATCCATTAGCACGTGATTAATTAAGTATTAGCTAATTTTTTTAAAAAAAATAGATTAATTTGATTTTTTTAAGCAACTTTCGTATAAATTTTTTTTGCAAAAAACACACCGTTTAGCAGTTTGAAAAGCGTGCGCGTGAAAAAACTAGGGATTTGGGTTGGGAACCTAGAGGTCCGAACACACCCTAAACAGTTCGCTGTGTCCTGCGATTCTACGACCAGAGTCCGTCGATCGCAACTTGATTCCTAGCCCAAAGTCACGGCAATATTTCTGATGTCTTATCCTCTCTGACATTGAGCAGTCTCAGTGCTTTTCTTCGATATAGATCATTCCTTTATAACCTGGTGGTCACCATCCAAAGAAAAAAAACAAGGTGTTCACCATCAACAAAGATCCTGGAATGGGCTAGCTCTGCTGGTTGCGAAAGAGGCAACCGTGCAATTTGTGGCGCACAGCGGGGGCATCGCTGTCTAGCGCGAGACATCCAATTGCACAAATCGCAGCATCCATGCCGAGAGAGATCCATTGGCTAATGTGTTTATTTTTCTTTGTTTTGCCTTTTTTTTACATAAAAATTAAATTTATTATATTCATATCCACTAATATTTACTCGATCTTGATTATACTTTTGTATCACATAAATGATATTCTAATACAGTAATTCTTGGTCAAAATCTTGTCCTAATATAAAACAAAATATGCACCATATTTTAAAACAAAGGAAGTAATATAATTCATCATAGTTATCCCTAAATTAATTTAGTCACACATTTGTTACTCAAACTTCTCATATTCCAGACACACAAGGCGGATTTTGTCATACTTTGTATTGGGAGGTTCAGTGGAGTGCCCAACATACCAACATTTCCTCCAGGCAAAGGTCCAGAAGCATTTGATGGCCAGGTGATCCACTCCATGGATTACTCCAAGATGGGCACCAAGAATTCTAAGGAAATGATCAAGGGCAAGCGTGTCACGATCGTTGGCTACCTCAAATCAGCACTTGACATTGCTGCAGAATGTGCAGAAGTAAATGGTACTGACAAATTAACAATCTGATTTCCTCCAACCATTTTTTTCAGTATTTTTTCTCTTGTGCAACTTTAGATGCTGAATTAAATTTTCCCCACTTACTAAGTGTTTCTTCTTCGTGTAGGTACTGAGATTCCATGTACAATGGTGGTCCGAACAAAGCATTGGATCATACCAGACTATTTTGCATGGGGCGTCCACATCTCAAAGCTGTATCTTAATCGGTTTTCTGAGCTTCTTATTCACAAGCCTGGTGAAGGCTTACTCCTTAGCATCTTGGCCACCCTCTTGACTCCATTGGTATGGCAATTCTGTTTTAATTATACTGCTAAAATTTGCTTTCTCTGGTTAAATTGAAGCAAGACTGATCCATGCATGTTTTTCCTCTTTGCACATGTTCAGAGATGGATATTTTCGAAGTTTGCAGAAAGCTATTATTCCATTCCAATGAAGAAGTATGACATGGTGCCTGACCATAGCCTATTTGAGGCTTTGATTACATGCTTGGTTGCCATTACACCCAAAGACCATTACAAGAGATTAGAAGAAGGCAGCATTGTTCTGAAGAAATCAAAGACATTTAGCTTTTGCAAGGAAGGTGTGCTTGTCGAAGGCCAATCTTCGCCGATAAAGAGCGATATAGTGATCTTTGGAACTGGGTTCAGAGGGGATCAGAAGATCAAGGAGATGTTCACTTCTGAATACTTTCAGAGCATTGCAGTAGGCTCTGCATCTACAACTGTACCTCTCTACAGGTCAACTCAACAATTGTTTTTTGCAAGGAACAAATATTTAATTAGTACAATTTCCAAATTCTATCTTGGACTGTTGAACTTAATTTGCTGCATGAACACAGGGAGATCATTCACCCAAAGATCCCGCAGCTCGCGGTTATCGGCTATTCAGAGAGCTTGGCAAATCTCTACACATCAGAATTACGGGCCAAGTGGCTGGCACATTTCATGGATGGTGGCTTCAGGTTGCCAAGCATCAGTGTGATGCAGAATGATGTCCTGGAATGGGAGAAGTTCATGAAGCGCTATTCTCGTGGTTACTTTCGCAGATCCTGCATCGGAATCCTTCACATCTGGTACAATGATCAGCTATGCCGGGACATGGGGTGCAATCCGAGGAGGAAGAACGGATTCTGGGCTGATTTATTCGACGTTTATGGCCCTAGTGATTATATTGATCTTTTCCCCAAGAAAGAGTAGTACTTTCGACTCGGAGTCGTGTGGAATAAATTTATCGCCTGATCATGCTTGTTTTAAGGTTGTCACTACCTGGTTTCTTGGATTTCTGCTGTTTTGCATAGTGCAAATTCAGTAAACCGTGTGAAGTGTAAGGTACAGTTGTGTAATATAAGGAGATGGATTTTAATCTATCTACGGGCATGTGCCTTAAATAACAAAAAGGAAAAAAAATCCAAATAACCCCTATAAGTAACTGGTCTTTTCAATCTCTCCCAATAACTTAATTTTGTGCAACATATGCTCCCTACAAGTCCATTTTCTTCTTCTAACTTCCCACCTCTGTCTAGTTTTCACTGATTTCTGGCCGCGCTTAGCAATTTCTCACATCTTTGTAGATCTCAGCATGGCTAGTGAAGTTGCTTTTGTCTTCTCTTGTTGGGCATAAGATTCAATACACATTTTTATGAAATGAGATAATTATCATGTCTTACCGTCACATAGTTGGTGGAATTAAAGTGTGTAAAAGTGAAAGGTAAAATAATGCTATGGTACACACACCTTTGGTGGAAAGGAGCAACTACCCTCACAGTGATGGAGGGTCATAGGGTGTGAGAAATAGCTAGAAATGGATAGAGGTGGGAAGATGGAAAAAAAACAAACTTATTATGAGTGTTTTGTATGGAATTAAGTTGCAAAGGAAGTTTGAAAACACTAGTGACTTGTAGGAGGTATTTGGATATTTCAAAAAATAAAAACAAAACACTCTGTATCCATGCACAACATATAAGATAAAATTATTAGTCCAATTCAAGAGAGGTCTCACTTTTAGTAGTATGATTTAGTTTTTCTGATTTATTGAGGGATATGTATTATGCTATATTTCATACCCAACATTCTTGAAACGTCCTGTAAGTCCTTATTTCGAAATAAAACAAATTGTGTATTTTATTCCTAGTACTCTTCTTTCAAATTAACTTATAAATTTGATGCATGTATTAAAAAAGTAGGTGGAATTAAATTGGAGAAAATTGTGAATCATTTAGGAGGGGGAGTAGCCGAGTAGGGCTGAATAAGACCCCTATCCAGATCTAGAATGTAGTACTAGTTTTCTATATTTAGGCCCGGTTTAGTTGGCAAAAAAATATTTGTTTTAAGGTGTCACATCAGATATATGGATACACATTTAAAGTATTAAACGTTGTCTAATAACAAAATAAATTACAGTTTCCGCCTAGAAACTGTGAGACGAATTTATTAATCCTAAGTAATCCATCATTAGCAAATGTTTACTGTAGCACCACATTGTCAAATCATGACGCAATTAGGCTCAGAAGATTCGTCTCGCAATTTACACGCAAACTGTGTAATTGGTTTTTTTCCACATTAAATACTCCATGCATGTATCAAACATTCATGTGATGGGTGAAAAATTTTTGTTTTGGGAACTAAACAGGGCCTAGGACAGAGCCAGCGAAAAACTTCCTCACCTGAGGGTTTGTTTAGTTCACGAAAAAAAAATTTTGGCTGTCACATCGGATGTTTGACCGGATGTCGGAAGGGGTTTTCGTACACTAATGAAAAAATTAATTTCATAACTCGTCTGAAAACCGTGAGACGAATCTTTTGAGCCTTATTAATCCGTAATTAGTACATGTGGGTTACTGTATCACTTATGGTTAATCATGGACTAATTAGGCTCAAAAGATTCGTCTCGTGATTTTCTCCCTAACTATGCAATTAGTTTGTTTAATCTATATTTAATGCTTCATGCATATGTCTAAAGATTTAATGTGTCTAAAATTTTTTGGAAACATTTTCGAGTAACTAACCCAGGCCTGAATCAGTAATCTCGTCAGAAATCAAGAGATTTTCCACCGTGGCTGTGTGTAGGCCCAGTGATGTGCATACCAGAGAAATCTCCCACAGATTCCTGGGCACGTTGCCTTCCTCTGGAGACATCCCTTGCCTTCTCCACACCTCCACTCCATTCGATTCCTCCCGCCCTTTCCTCCCCGCTTTTCCTACAAAAACCCCTGTGTCGCTCCAAAACCTGAGCTCCTCTGTTCTGTTCCCTTCTCCACCTATCACCTCTCCTCGGATCGTCAGCAACAGCGGCGGCGATGTCGGCGGCGCCGGTAGTGGACGCGGAGTACATGGCGGAGGTCGAGAGGGCGCGCCGCGACCTGCGCGCCCTCATCGCCAGCAAGAGCTGCGCTCCCATCATGCTCCGCCTGGCGTGCGTTGCCGTTTCATCTTCTTCTTCTTCTTCCTTTGTCTCTGCTGTCCTTGCTATGCTCCACGATCGTGTATGTCTAGCTCGCCGCTGATGTCGTCTGCTCTGGCGCCGCCGCCGCCGCCGGCCGCCGCTGTTTTTGCGCAGGTGGCACGACGCCGGCACGTACGACAAGGCGACGAAGACGGGAGGGCCCAACGGCTCCATCAGGTTCCCGCAGGAGTACAGCCACGCCGCGAATGCGGGCATCAAGATTGCTATTGATCTGCTAGGTCTGTGCATGTTTCTGTCAGATTCTTGTTCAGGATGTGAACTTGTTTTTTGATGCTGTTGTTGTTAATTTTGTTCTGACCTTAACAAGTTTGATTTGAGATGATATATATGGTTCTTTCATGTGGTGCAGAACCGATGAAACAGAAGCATCCCAAGATTACCTATGCTGACCTGTATCAGGTAACTCAGCTGCATATTTGAACACTAACAAGTAACCTTACAATGGGCCTGTTCGGCAGCTCGATTACGCAGCTGTTTTGGCTGTGCTGTACAGCCCAGCCGTTCGTCTGCCTGTTGGCTGGCAGCGGCCTGGCTGTTGGCTGCCTGCAGCCTCTACAGCCGCTGTTAGCTAGCTGCTGTAGCACTGTAGCTGCTGCTGCCGTGCAGCTGCAGCGCTGCAGCAGCAATCTCATCCGAACAAGCCCAATCCTACTTTCCTGCTGGTAAACTTCACCAATCACATACCAATTATAAATCTCATCACCTCTAATTTCAGCTTGCCGGAGTTGTTGCCGTTGAAGTCACCGGTGGGCCAACTATAGATTATGTTCCTGGCAGGAGGGTGAGTTGATGCATCGACATTGATTTTTTTTCCAGACTGAATATCTTATGAAACCATCTTGAGTTCTCCTTTTTTTTTTCTCATTTATCTACAGGATTCTTCAGATTCCCCAGAGGAAGGCCGTTTGCCAGATGCTAAGAAAGGTTGATTCATGACCCGTTATCTCTGCTCCTATCTACTAATCTAAAATAAAATATCAGCTCCAATGCATTGATACTTTTTTCTGTGATTTCTTGGGTTAATTTTGCTAATTATAAATGATTAAATGAAATGAGCGCTGAAACCTTCCAATATGTTGTATGCACAAAGTTCAGATGATACAATTAAATTCGAAATTTTGTTTTTCTGGATAATTTGCTTCAAAAATGTCAAAGGTATTTAGTTTCTTGTACTATATTTTACTTTTTTGAAAAGGTGCTGCGCATCTGAGGGAAGTCTTCTACAGGATGGGCTTATCAGACAAGGACATAGTAGCACTCTCAGGCGGCCATACTCTCGTATGCAACATCATCTTTCTACTGGTGTATATAATATATCAACTACTATTTTCCAGCTAAATTAGAGATCATGTTCTGAATAGTTCATTTTCAGGGGAAAGCTCGTCCCGAAAGATCAGGATTTGATGGTGCCTGGACAAAGGATCCACTGAAATTTGACAACTCCTATTTCATGTAAGATTAAATATGACTTGTCCCTCCACAGAATTAATTATTGATGGTGCTTGGACAAAGAATCCTCCGAAATTTGATAACTCCTATTTCATGTAATATTAAATATGACTTATCCATCTATAGAATTAATTAAATATCACCATTTGCTTCAATGCAGTGAGCTTCTGAAAGAGAATTCAGAAGGGCTTCTGAAGTTGCCTACTGACAAGGCTCTTGTTGAAGATCCTACATTCCGCCGCTATGTCGAACTATATGCCAAGGTACATCGCATTTATATCCCAAATCTTTTCTATTCACTGTAACATTTCAGGTAGCTTATCAGGATGGTAATTAATTTTTTTTCTTTTCTGAAAATCGTAGTGCTTCTGTAAATGTCATGTTTTCCTTTGTTATGGTAATCACAATAGTTTGTAAACTATAAACTTTCTGATAGATTGCATTAGTATTGCACAAATAGAAACCTAACCAGAATGATGTGTGCAATGAGCAATTGAGCATTCTCTAGTTAGTAGTTAATGAGTTCTTGATTTGCTAACAATAATTTGTATTTTTCTTTGTAGGACGAAGATGCATTTTTCAGGGACTATGCAGAGTCGCACAAGAAGCTATCTGAGCTGGGGTTCACGCCTCCTCGCTCTGCATTCATCTACAAATCATGCCAGAAACCAAAGTCCCTGTTGATGCAAACTGCAGCTGGGGTTGCAGTTGCTGCTGCAGTTGTCGCATGGGCTTACCTCTGTGAATCCAACAAGAGGCTTGGCTAATTTAATTTGCATCGATCACAATGATCGTTATTTCGTCTCAACCACTAATGGCTGTACAAAAAGAAGGTACTCGATTGGAACATTTGGATGATGTATATGTGTTTGTTGGTATATATATGTGAGTGCTGCTAAGTCTGCTATGTTGTAACGGTGTACAAAGAATGAAATAAAACAACAGCCAATGGTTGTAGTTAGATTGTGAGCGTTATTTTACTCGATTACACAAGATGCGCGCGTACACCTGCGAATCTGCCTCCTAACATGCTGTAAGAGACGGTTGTCAGCGGCAAATCCTGATCTCTGCCCAACAAGGTTTGTGCCCTAGAGCTAACCTTAGGATGCTATATTTATTTAGTAGTCGTCATCGTTAGAGTCGGGTTTTTCTTAGATTAGTCAATCCGCCAATATATGCAATAGTTTCGTCATCAACAAGTCCAGTTTATGGAACCCCAACTTTAAGTGCTAATCATTCATTAGAAATTTAGATTGTGTTCTTCCTTATTCTTTGAGTTTCTTCAATTGCTTGTAGGGATAAACTTTCATGGTGAGGTCAACTACGTGAGAGCATGGTTGATAACAACTAAATGTGTGGGTGTAGCTGTTCCGAGATGATAACGTGAACGTCTTCATGTCGCCAAGTCGAACCTATTGGAAGATCGGGTACCTAGGCACATCAAGTGTTATTAGAGCATTAGGTTGACCGATAGGTATCATCTGTTTTCCAAGTGTTAATTTTCATTTCCATTACCTAGAGTCCAGAAAAGGCTAAAAAAAATACTACCATGTTCATCTAGTTTTAGTTTTCCCTTGTTCAAACCACTTTGTGCCTATGCATGAAGAACTTGAATATTTGGAGAGAAACAAAGTTTGGACTTTAGTTGAACCACCTTCTGGACAAAATATTATTGGAACCAAGTGGGTTTTCAAAAATAAACAAAATGAGGATGGTTTGATTGTGAGAAATAAAGCTAGACTTGTTGCTCAAGGTTTTACTCAGGTGGAGGGTTTGGATTTTGATGAAACTTTTGCTCATGTTGCTAGAATTGAGGCAATTAGACTTTTGTTGGCTTTTGCTGCTTCAAAAGGTTTTAAATTGTATCAAATGGATGTAAAAAGTGCTTTTCTAAATGGTTTTATACAGGAGGAAGTTTATGTCAAACAACTACCAGGTTTTGAAAATTCTGATTTTCCCAACCATGTTTTTAAATTGTCTAAAACTTTGTATGGCTTGAAACAAGCACCTAGAGCATGGTATGATAGACTTAAGAACTTTTTGCTTGCGAAAGGTTTTACAATGGGAAAAGTTGACAAAACGCTTTTTATTCTTAAGCATGGTGATAATCAACTATTTGTTCAGATTTATGTGGATGATATCATCTTTGGTTGTTCGACTCACGCTTTGGTTGTGGAGTTTGCTAAGACTATGTGCAGGGAATTTGAGATGAGCATGATGGGTGAGTTATCGTACTTTTTGGGATTACAAATTAAGCAAACACCTCAACGTACATTTGTGCATCAAACGAAGTACACGAAGGATCTTTTGAGACGGTTCAAGATGGAGAATTGCAAACCAATTTCAACACCAATTGGTTCTACAGCTGTGTTGGATCCTGATGAAGATGGTGAAGCTGTTGATCAAAAGGAGTATAGAAGTATGATTGGATCTTTGTTGTATCTAACTGCTTCTAGGCCAGACATACATTTTGCTGTGTGTTTGTGTGCACGCTTTCAAGCTTCTCGTCGTGTTTCACATCGTCAAGCGGTCAAGCGAATAATGAGGTATTTGAATCATACACTTGAGTTTGGAATTTTGTATTCTACTTCATCTTCTATATGCTTAAGTGGATATTCCGATGCTGATTTTGGAGGTTGTAGAATTGATAAGAAAAGTACTAATGGAACATGTCATTTTCTTGGTACATCATTAATTGCATAGTCTTCTAGGAAACAATCTAGTATTTCTCAATCAACTGTTGAATCTGAATATATTGCTGCTGCTAGTTGTTGTTCACAGATTCTTTGGCTTTTATCTACTTTGAAAGATTATGGTCTTACTTTTGAGAAAATACCTCTCTTTTGTGATAATACTAGTGCTATTAACATTGCTAAGAATCCTATTCAACACTCACGCATAAATCACATTGATATTCGTTTTCACTTTTTGAGGGATCATGTTGAGAAGGGAGATGTTGAATTGCAGTTTTTGGAAACAAAATTACAACTTGCTGATATTTTCACTAAACCTTTGGATTCTAATCGCTTTGCTTTTCTTTGTGGTGAATTGGAAATAATTCATCCTTTTGGCATGTTTTGAAGGGGAGTTTGTACCTCATGGTTTTATCAAGCAAAAATATGACAATGAGAAAAATTGAGAAAAGAGAGCTTTGTTTATACATATGGTATTTTCTTGTGCATGCTAACAATACTTTGAAGGTTTATTTGTCTCTAGCATAGCTTGTATGTATTCTAGTATTTTCATGAGATTTAGATTTTGCTTTTAAGGGAGATGATGCATGACACTTAAATATGCAATGTTGATGCTAGCATGTGGTTTGATTTCTAAATGCTCTATATATATGCTTTATTGAATTATTATTCCTCAAATAGCTTTAATTGCTCATTGTGAAAAGAGAATAAAACTACGAAAAAAAATGAATACCGAATCCTTGGAAACAGTCTTGACGACAAGGACGTATTCGATGTAAGCAAAATAATGGGTGCCGAATCCCTAGAAACAATCCTGACGACAGGGACGCACCCGGAATAAAAGAGAAAAATATGAGCAAAAATGCTCAAGAAAAAGAAAAAGTAAAAAATTCTCTTGGTTGTTTTGTGCTAAAGGTTATTTGAGAAAGAGTGATAAATGCAATAGGTATATGTGTTTAGTGTCCATTCTTCAACCTATGTGCTTGTTAAGATGTTGCATTATAAATCGTATGAAATCATGAATTTTGATTGTTGATTCAAGCTTAATTGTAAAATCTTTGGTTCATGGTTATACTTTAATTCATGTTTGTTATGTTATAGATGTGTTCATCTTCTTTTTATTGCAACACATGACATGATATGCTATATGTCATTAATGAACATAATTCCTATGCTTGAATAAATCATTGTCAAAAGGGGGAGAAGCAAGGTGAAAATTTTTGGAGAGCATGTTGTTTTTGCATGTTGTTTTTGATTCGATTGGGAATTTCTTTCTTTTCAAAAGTGAGAGAAATTTTCTTTTGGATTTTCGAGCACGATGTGTACGTTTGTACGAAGTGTGCTTTTTACCACTTTTGTTTTTATTTTTCCAAACACCAAAATATTTTTTATGGGTTTGCCAATGTGTTCATCAAAGGGGAGATTGTAAAATCAAAGGTGTTTTTGATTATTATTCTGTGATGAACAATTATCATAGGAGATTATTGGTTTTGTTATTTGAAATTTATTTGCGAAGTGGTTTTGGAGATGATTGGATTTTACAGGTGATCTACAGGTACTGCTGTCTGTTGGGACCGGTCAGACCGGCGTATATCGCGCGGTCAGACTAGCGCAGCCCGCGGTCTGACGGGCCGACTCTGTGTCGGTTTCGGTTTCGGGTTTTTTGTTTGGATATCCGTGATAGTTTCATGATTATGGCTTCTAGATGGATACTATGCGTATGCAATACTGTTGTTTACTAACAATGAGTCAAGTTGGAGATAGCTTGGTCTCGGAATATGGTTTCTTTGTTTATTTCATGTGTAGGTGACTCGATACCTCGGGAGAGTATTTACGGTGATGGACCGGGAGTCGGCTTGGGGATAAGACGACGTTCGTGGTGGTCAGAGATCATGCGAGATACTTAGGCTAGAGTTGATGCACGTGGTTGGTGAAGATTCCATATGGCATACGATGGAGGTATTGTGTGCGTATGGAATGCGGAGTCGAATTTGGAAAGAGTCCAAATTTGGTATGATTAGTTATGTAAAGTTTGTTTCTTATACTAGAGGGTTTCCTAAGGTGTTTAGGACTTTAGGCTGCCTACCTCGGGTATAAATAGAGGGGAAGCGTGAGGCTTCCCGGTATCACTTTTGAGAGCAATGGAGTTGAGAGTTGAGTTAGGGTTTCGAGTTTAGTCGAAATTTTTTGTAAGGAGTGCTGTTGGTGCACTTTGTAAACACAGAGATAATCAATAAAGTTGTCATCCACTTTAAGAGTTATTCGATTGGTGTTTCACCAGGTTTCGGCGGTCGGTCAGACCGGCGGGCACACGGCGGTCAGACCGGCCACGGCGACAGGGAGTGGCATGCAATCTCAGCGGTTCGACCAGTCAATCTTCATCGGTCAGACCGACGTTCATTAGGCGGTCAGACCGGCGCAACACTTTCGGTTAGACCGGCGCAACACCTTCGGTCAGACCGCGATTCGTTGAATTTGAGGGTAACTTTTATTTCCGCTAAAAATTCGAATTTGAATGGTTGGTAATGGGTATACCAACCATAGTACAAAAAACCGGACCGGACCGGCGGTTGAACCGGAAAAAACCGGAACCAGCACTCTCACCGGCTCGGTTTGCTCTAAAGACCGCCCGTGCAATTGAACCGGTATAAACCCGGTGAACCGGACGATTTTTTGCTTAAAACCGGCGACCAGGCTATACTAAACCGGCAGGTCAGCTAGGAGATGGGCCGGCCTTCCAAGGCCCACTTCACTTCCGGCGGCCCATGTTCGTTTTATTGCCTAAAAATGAGAAAAAGTGCTACTTTGGGGGTTTGAACTCTGGCTGGCGAGGAGCAAGAATGTGATCCTCACCACTAGGCTAACATGAGCTCCCTGTTTGAAGGGAGTTATGCATAATATATGATGGTTCCGGTTCAGCATTAGACCGGTTGACCCAGCGGTCCAACCGGTGAACCGATGAACCAAGGGTCCAAGCGGTTCGATGACCGGTCCGGGTTTTTCTACTATGATACCAACCATTCACCCCCCTCTGGTTGGCTTAGTTGTTGTGATTCGATCCTACAGTAGTGACTCTCCTTTATTCCTTTCTACTCTCTTTTCTATCTCTCCCTGAGGCTAGCGGCACAAATTGTGCCAAAGAGACCACAAGTAATCGATGTTACACACCTCGCTGGCTACAACATGGCCGTGGAGGCCCCTTGGCTTGCGCGGTAAGCTTGTGGTGTCCCTTGGCACCCAATCCCTAAAAGTATGGAGAAGCACCATGGCGTCCTCGATCAGCCTGAGGAGGAAGCAAGCAAGCAAGCACATTGGTGATTTCCACATCAAGAATAAAATGAATGTAAATGAATCTAGATAGTAATGGTCAAGATTATACCTTCATTAGGTGTTCGTGTTGGCATTCTTGGATAGGCTGGCGAGAATGCAGCGCTTGAGTTGTGAAATGTTGATGAGGCTGATTGAGCGAGAAGCAGTGGTGCCTGGTTTAGCCGTGTCGAAGTGATGGTGGTCAAGTGAGAGGAGTTTGGTACAGGATACTGTGCCGAGGTCGCCGGAGCACGTCTAGGCACAACTTGGGGATGTAATCATGGAGCATTACCACCACATCCTGGTAAAGCTGCAGCATGAGGAGCACGCAAGCCCGAAGCTCTAGTGCAGACTCCATCCGCGACGATAGCTCTAGCGCTATGTCTATGTGACCTTGACCATCTAAAGCTACTCTACGACATCATGCTCCGGTACGGAAAGCTTCCCGGTCGTAGGTGGCAACTATGGACGATGTCCTGTACCGTGAGACTGTGCACACGTGCACTGCAAGCTTACCGCACGCATCCAAGGGATCCACGACCATGTCACTACTGGCGAGGCATGTAACATCGATTGCTCGTGGTCTTTTCAGAATGATTTGTGCTACCGGCCTCGGGGTGAGATGGAAAAGAGAGGAGGGGAATATATAGAGAGAGATGATGTTCGCTGATTGGCTGACATGTGGGTCCTATTGAATCAGTGAGTCAACCACAGCCAACTTATCACGTCAGCAGAAACCGCTTCCCAAATTATTGAAGGAGTTGATTTACACCGGGTTTCAAAGATGGGGAGGCGCATTCAATCATGAGAAGGAAAAGGAGGGACTCCAAATAGACTTATTTCGGCCTGTAATGGATTCAGACTGTGATCACGCACTGGGCTATAGAAAGCACCCGGCGCTGGACAGCCCAGCGTTCTCTCTTCTCTAGTAGACTCGTTCTCTCTCCCCCTTTCCTTCCCCTCGGCCTCGACTCCCCCGTCTCTCCGCGCCAGCTCGTTCCCCGCCGGCGCCGCCCAGCGCCGATCTCCGTCCCGGGGGCAGCAGCGGGCGCCGCCGACCTGCTGCTTCCGCCCGCATCCTCGTCGCCGGTGAGCACCCGTACGCAGCATCCTCTCTTCCATCCCCTCTCTACCCCGCACCTTTTCTCTTCGCCTTAACCCTTAGCTGAAACCGCATGCCGCAGGTTTGGCCCGGCTCTGAAGTAAGCAGGATTCTGAATCTGAGAACGAGGAGTTGGATTGGGGGACTATGGCTCAGATCCCCAATCTCGACAATGCTCCTCTCAATCTCGCGGCCCTCAGGTATCTCGTGATGATCCCCACTCATCTGCTTACCCTTGTGTTTGTTCCTGTGAATTTTAACCTGTATGTTTGATGTGCTTCGACTGTGAATTTCAACATGTATGTTTGATGTGCTTCGACTGGTGGCATGCAGGGAGCAGTCGCAGAAGGACCTGCTAAACATCCTCAAGAGTGTGCGTTTCTCAACATCCCATTTTCAATTTTTCATACTCGTGTTATTGACGGTGGAAACTGAAAAGTTTGTATTCTTTTCCTGTGTATCAGATTAGGGGGAAGAAGTGTGTAGTTATTGATCCCAAGCTCGCGGGTACCCTGTCTCTGATTCTGCAGACCTCACTGCTAAAGGTGCGATGAGCTGATCATACAGTATGGAAATGTTAACAGTCAATTGTTTTCATCTTAAATGACTTAGCAGCTTCTGTGAAATTTAGCATTGTATCAATAGTATGCTTACATTGCATTTCATGTATGGACAATTAAGCTACTCTCACAGTTAACATATATGGTCTACTAAAGGTGCGATGAGCTGATCATACAGTATGTATATGTTAACAGTCAACTGTTTTCATCTTAAATAATAACTTAGTAGCTTCTGTAAAATTTAGCATTGTATCAATAGTATGCTTACACTGCATTTCATGTATGGACAATTAAGCGACTGTTGCAGTTAACATATATAGATTTTTGGACATGCACACAGCTCATGCATGGTTTTTTGTGCTTGTCAGGAATATGGTGCAGAGTTGCGGCTTCTCTCTGCTGAACCCCTCCAAACTGAGTGCGCTAAGATCCTATATCTCGTACGCTCTGAGCTGAAGTTCATGAAATTAATTGCAAGCCAGATTAAGAACGATGAGCCTAAAGGGCTTCAGAGGGAATTCTTTCTTTACTTTGTGCCACGGCGCACAGTTGCCTGCGAAAAGGTGACTATTGTTTTCGTACTTTGCTGGTTCTATTGTTCTATCTGTGGCTTAGGATTCAATTATATTAGAATAATTTGCTAGCCTCAGACACAATTCAATTATTCTTAGTCTGATTGTAGTAAGAATGACAACTTATGCAATCATCGCTCCCAACATGGATACATGTAAATTTGTGTAGTATAATGTATTGTTACTTATATGTTACTGAGATACCATATAGAAAGAAAGTCCACCTTACAGGCCTTAAATCAGGATAATTAAGATTGAATGAGTCGTATAGGCCATACCGCATAATGTATGCTTAGATAGTGACCTATTTTGGAAGATAAAGAAGGCTTGCAATATAACCATTGTTATTTGTTCATCCGATTAATCGCGATTAATTGTCCTGATCGCTCCCCTACCTCCGATCAGGCACAGGTAAGTCGATCAGACGATCAGAGAGCTGATCGTCCGATTAATCGATGATTAGTCGCAATTAATCGTCCGATCAGGGTGGAAAACGAGCAGTTTTCGTTCATGGGCTGCCTCCCTGAGAAAATATAATTTTGGGCCTGCCAGCCCAGCCCATGTTCCATTTTGGGCAGATGATGGGCAGCAAATGATGCTTCTTCTTTGACCAGATGATGCTTGCTTTTTACCATATACTACAGATTATATATTATTGAGTACATACTACCTCCGTCCTAGAATATAGCAACCTAGGATGGGTCCCATCCTAGGACAATGTATGTCATGTCCACATACATTGTCCTAGGATGGGTCTCATCCCATCCTAGGTTGCTATATTCATGACATACATTGTCCTAGGATGGGTCTCATCCCATCCTAGGTTGCTATATTCTGGGACGGAGAGAGTAATATATAGCATATATGGCCAGCTGGACACTCCTGCTATATACTAATCGACCACCCTCGATTAATCGTCCTGATCATCCTGATCGGTGCCTAGGAGAGCAGGGCTGATCGCCTGATCAGAGAACATTGAATGCAACTATTTAAGATCCTTTCATCCCAATGATGCTTTCCAATTTTAGTACAATTATCTTATAGTCCATGTACCATCTTTGTAAATGCCTTCGTTTATATGCTTATTTACATGTAAATACAATTTTGCCCAAAACTGGTATGTGTTGTAGTTAGTGTAGGTTGAATCATGTCTCAGATAATTCATAGTCTACTAATATGTTCTTCATATCGTGAACAACCCTTTCTAGGATATGTCACCTTCCAGTAATTCCTGTCACTCACCTCCCAAAAAAGGAAAACAGAAAGAAAAGCCCTTTTCAGTAATTCAACTTGGGAAGCATGAGCCATATGCACAGTATTTATAAAAGCCCTTTTCAGGAATTCAGTCTTCTTTTATTAGTATTTCCTGGGACTTAACGCCACATATCAGATATTGGTATTAATAAAGAAAAATATGTGACAAGACAATTGAGGATCCAAGAATGCTTTTACTAGTTTTTGCCTAATCTACAAAATATATGTAGTTAAAGTGCGAATAGCCAAATACTCTAGAAATGTTTTATTATTGCTTCAATTATATTGTCATAAAATTTCTGATTTGATTGATGGGTACAAAACTCCCTACAAAAATGATCATATGTATTAGTTTTTGAATGGAATGCGGTAAAATCAGCTCACCTGAGATCCACCAGTACGCAGAGTAGATTAATCTACTGGCAAACAGGCCATACGCAATGTTCATGCTCATGTGCCAAAATTAGCGAAGCTGTTTTCCTTATTCTGACAGTTGGAGGAATGAATTAGGGATCAATATCAGTTGCCGTGTCGTGCCGTTATGGAGAACTTAATTGTTTTGTTATCAGTAGAGCGACTAGAGCCTGATTGTAGTGTGTTTTTCTTGCTGACCTATCTTGATGCTTGGTTCTTCTATACAGGCTTAGCTATTGCAACAGTACTTTATGAGTAATCACATCCTCTTTGAACCCTTGAATTATAGCTGTAAGACTTCGTCAAATGCCCTTCATAAATTCCTATTTGTATGTTACTTAGTGGTCCACATTTTGCTACTGATCATAAAAATATACAAAATAAAAAAAATAATAATTACCTCAAACTTTATGTACGTGACAACATGAGAAAATTAGCCACCTACAGATGTGCATTTGCAAGGAATAAAATTCTTTTTTTTTTTTTTAAAAAAGCCATCAAAAGACACCTATGTATGTATATGCAACCACAGATCATCCTTTGGAGTGAGATTTGTTGTACCTGAATTCCTCCTTTTACGACTAAACATAAAGATGAATGTCAGTGAGGCATCTCCAAAGTTGAACTATGACAAGAAGAATTGTGATCTGTATTTTATTCTGCACCTGCAGATTCTGGAGGAGGAAAAAGTTCATCAGAAATTGACACTCGGAGAGTACCCCTTGTATCTAGTTCCATTGGATGAAGATGTGATTTGTTTTGAACTTGATCATTCTCTGCAGGTACTAATCCATACTAGTGCATATTCCCTCCGTCCCAAAATATAAGCATTTTTTGCTATGAATCTAGAGAACTATGTGTCCAGATTCATAGCTAAAAGTTGTTATATTTTGGGACGGAGGTAGTATATTCATAATATTGATATAAATCTTACTGGAGCATGATTTTCAGGAATGCCTTATTGAAGGGGATACTAGTTCTGTTTGGCATGTTGCAAAAGCTATCCATAAGTTAGAGGTATGTGTCTTCCTTTCATGTATTTTGGCATTTACCTTTTCCATTCTTTTTACTTGTTTTTACTAAGGTTGTAATGGTACTCTCGCAAGTCGTAGCAAGTCTGGGTGCCAGGCCTCCAAGGCACCTATGCAAGATTATATGTATGCAATACATGTTTGTACAGGAGTGACCACTTAAGCTGCACAATGTCCACCTGCGCTACCTCCCTCCTTCACGATTTCTTAACTTATCCCTTCCCAGTTCTAACCTCCCTACTAGGATGCTCTTATTTCTCAGTAAACATAAGATTCTCAGTTTTCTCTCCTGTTCTGCATTTCACATCTTCCTCCTCACATCACTGATCCTAAACTCGCACTAGAAGCAAAGAGGTAAGAAATAAACAGGAATCTGGTGAAGCTGGTGATGGTGAAAAGCTTGTCAGACACTGGAGGGCTGTACACTTTTCTAATCCTGGTCATCTCGGCATTGATCTCTGTTTTCTGCCTCTGGCTGATGCGCTGTCCTAGAGTTGACTAGGCGACCCCTCGTGCTGTCGTAACAACTAGTGTTTGACCATCACCATCACCTTTTCTAGTAACATAATCATATCAAATTTCCCATCAAAAAGCATAATCATATCAAAGTATTATAATGAAAAATCTAGCTGTACCGTTTTCATGTGAATACCTAACTTTCTTGTGGTAAAAGATTCACATAATTTGTGGCCCATACTCTAGGATGACAAATGCAAAAGACCAGAGGGTGTACTACAAAAGTTCAATTATATTTGTTTATAGCAGAAGCATTCTATGGACAGACTAAATTTTTATCATCTATACCATACTGTAGTTTAAAGAGTACTTTTCAGTGCTACAAATCTGCAACCTTATCATCTTTTAATTCCGTCACACGTAAATATCTATACACTATAGAAATATTATAGTACTGCACTTATGCAAATTCCTTTCTTTCCCCAGTTTGCCTTTGGAGTAATTCCCAATGTTCGGGCCAAGGGTGTTGCATCCACCAAAGCCGCAGAGTTGCTGAATAGTATGCAACAGGAAGATCCTGTCAACATGGATGATGTAATGCCGACTGATAAGCTTTTTTGACTCAGATCTTTCAGTTTCGCTGATCATTTATTTCTTTTTGGTGATTTAGATGGGGACTCCGGAGATAAACACTGTTATTTTGTTAGACAGAGAGGTAAAATATATTTTTCATTTTATATGGTACTTTCAGCTCTGAAAACTACTGTCACACTCTATTTTGATTTCTTGTTCTTTTTGGCATTTATATGAGCCTTTGCATCTATGGTTCTCTATGTTTCCAAATATCAACTCATTACATTACACTTAGGGAAGATAACCCCTTTGATTTGTTACACATTTGTAATGTATCTATTTTTTTCTATGCAGGTGGATTTAGTGACACCGATGTGCTCTCAGTTGACATATGAAGGTTTATTAGATGAGGTAGACTAAATATTGCCAAATTTCCATTCTGGCCGGCAACTCATTAGTATTTGGTTTTTAGCCTTTTTATATTGGATGACTACATGCCATTATGGTTCTCACTGTACAAATTTACAATTTAGCATGTCTATCACATTCTAACATTTAATTATAATTCCCTTTGTGGTAGTAGTGAGCAAACTCTATTCTTGGGTATGAATTATCTTATATTATACCATTGTGCACTAGGTTACCCCCTCACCCTCTGCTTTTTTTTCTGTAAATAAAGTTACAAAAATAATAAAAAAAACAAAGTTAAAATGTCCTTTCTGTTGTATGCAGAATGTTTCATACTCCATGAGCTATGATTTTCTTTGTTGTCCCAAATAGGAAATGTGAAATGCCAGTATAAGTCTTAAGAATTTTGATTTATTCTCCTCCCCACCTATTGGGTTTATATGTGAGTATGTTATAATTATCTCTCAACAAGTACAGTCATATCATTAGATAGGAGTGCACGACCCAATTCCATATTGTGTCTGCATGGATGTTACTGTTAGGTGTGTGATATGCCCTAAATAAAATGCAATCCAATTTAATAGAATGTCTGCTATTCCAATGCTGCATTCCCATGGTTTAAATTTTACAATCGATTCACATGAACTATTTGATCATTATTCTGCAGATGTTGCAAATAAACAATGGATCTGTGGAGGTTGATGCCACTATTATGGGAGCCCAACAAGATGGTAAAAAAGTTAAAGTTCCACTGAATTCAAGGCAAGTGTTCTTAGTATATGCATGCATATTTCCAGTCTGTAAATATGTGTAAACTTTTTAAGGTTTCTCTTTCTCCCATCTTTGGGAGGTATTCTGCCTCCCACTACTTGGAAGGTACCTCTTCAGAAAGGGAGGTGCTAAAACTGATCCCACAAGTGGGGGTAGGATTGGAAATTCACCTTTCCATCTGCTCCTGAGTTTTTCTCTGGTGGTATAGGTATTTAGTGTGAGTAGGAGTTTCCTGATCAATACTGTGAGGTATATATACCTCAATGCTCCCCAAGGACCAGAGAAAAAACTTCACATTGTTGACCATTCCCTTTTGTTCTGATCAGGCTTACATCTCTTGCTTTTCAAGTGGTGGGTAGGTATAAAACGTCCCAGGATGGGAAATAACATTACCATTGTGTTGTGTCGCTGCGTGCCATTTTCCTGCAAGAAATTGATCTTTCAATGCTTTGCATATATTTTGAAACTTCCTGCTTCACTACTATTAATGTCGTCCCTTAGGGAACTTATTCTTTAGATGCAGGAGTTTTATATTTTGTTTTTGAAAATAATTGCATAGTTTCTTCTACTCCCTCTAGGCTAAAGTGAGTGTTCTCCTAGAACACATGTCCTGAAATTTGTCAAAGTTTTCTTATACACATCCGGAACTCCGTAATCTATATATCCTATATAGTTGGAACCAAAAACTTGACATGCATCGAGCCAATCATCTAGAAAATAATAGCCTTTGGATCCCTCTCATGCTTTGATCTCAACCATCCATTTGTCATATGGATTTACAACCCACTAAGTGTAGTTATTGCTATAAAGGTCAATATGCATTGAACCATGACACCTAGAAAACTAATAAACATCGGATCCCTCTAATGTTTGATACTTAACAATGCGTCAAGTGTCATATAGAAATGCACTTTCACATCAACTACTATAGAACAGATATTGTCCATTTAGATATTACGAGTACACAATTTACATATTGTTTTCATTGAGTTTTTTTGGAAGTATTTCTAAATTCCCTGCTGCAACGCGCAGGGTATCAGTGTATCACTAGTTAGTTTGATTCCCCCATACAACTATTTTGTGGCACTTATCTACCTACTAGTATTCACTTATTTGTAACTAACCCCTCATTCCTATTTTTGTGTGATTTCTGATAATGTAGTGACTGTATTTTACTTCAAATACCTGCTATCTGCTGGACTGATGCCTTACATTGCCTTGCCACTTTGATAAACATTCTTATAAATTCATTTTGATAAAAGTCGGTTGGTGAAGTTATATCTCAGAAACCATGTCAAATGCATGTGATAATTGTTTATGACTATCCTCTAATGAAAAATAAATGGTGTCCTAGTTTCATTGACTTTGTATAGTCAATCTTTTGAAAATTTGAATGTCTTCATGATTACTTGTACCATAATAACAAGTTAAAGTCTTTGTACCAATCACAGTGCGCAGCAACTTTTTATACATTTTATAGGCGCTGGAGAATCTTGGTAACTCTGAGTTATTTTTCTTGTCACTGGAATCCACTAAGGAAGCAATATCCTTAGTGGTAGTGTAGAACGGTGGGTAGTGGTAGTGTATGCACTGTGCAGCCCAGCAGATGCTCTTTTTTTTTTTCTTGAAAGCATATTTGAATCTATTTTCCTTCTCAAATTCTGTACATTTTTATTTAACTCACATTTTACAGTATGGTCTTCACTCTTAACTATCAGTTTCTTTATGCTAATATGGATTTATACATATGTGTTAATACTCTGTCCTTTTCAGTGATAAGTTGTACAAGGAAATTCGAGATCTCAATTTTGAAGTTGTAGTTCAGGTTAGCTAAGCTTGCCTTCTGTTTTTTTCTTTATCTTTTGTAAAGGAGTTTTTATACTAATCTGTTCTTGGTTCTGTTTATCATCCAATATCATTATAGCTTACTAATAATTTGAATCTTCTGTAGCAGCCATCATTTAGTAATATTGCAAACTGTGCTGCAGGTCTTGCGCCAAAAGGCAACATCTATTCAGCAAGATTACGCCGAAGTAAAATCCACCAATGTAAGATATAGATAATTCTGTTTATTCTTTAGTATTTATTGTCCCTCTTAGTAGTGCAGTCATATACTACTAAGAGGGAACAACTTTTTCTGCTATTTTACTGTCAAACTCATACAAATATCAGTTTGTAAATTGATTTTGAAAATTAGAATTCATGATTAAATTATTTTGTCCTTTTTATGCAGCATGTTTGAAAATAGTTTTACTGAATGTCTATAGTTTAACATTTACAAGGGAAGGAAATATACTACATACTGAATCAAAAGTCAATTATTTGATTTGTCAATTTAGGGGGCATATCTGTTGGTGCGCTTAACATAAGAGTAGTTAATTCTGTTGGTCAAAATATGACTACTATATGTGAAGTTATAGGTGGTGTTTGCTGAGGCAATTTGGGTAAAATGCACATAAATATTGAGATAAAATCATCGGTTTGCCCTTTTCACAAAAATACATTTTCTTCTGAAGTACTATAGCGAATTTTTTGTTATCTGCATTTTTTTTTCCAGTTTGTTTAATTCTCTCCTGTCCATTCGATCAGGCAGCTATCTTTTTTGTTAGAATAATCTGTGAATCAGGAACTTATGTAAATAATTTTATTGTTTGAAAACAGACTCAATCGGTTTCGGAGCTGAAGGACTTTGTGAAGAGGTTACATTCACTGCCAGAGATAGCTGTGAGTTAATTAAGTGCTGTCAGTTGGTCACTTGTTTTGTGTAAATTAACTAACACCCTGCATTGATGCAGAGGCATGTTCATTTGGCACAACACTTGCAATCATTTACTGGAAAACCTTCCTTTCATGCCCGATTAGACATTGAACAAACAATATTGGAGGTGCAAAACTTTGAAATGTGAGTTTATCTTTCTACTACTCTGTAGTTCATGTTTATTTACTTTATAATGCAATTCTTGTGACGTGGGCAACATATCAAGATTTTCTGTCAACCCTGTAAATTAGCTCATTCATTTATATTTTACTTCTCCCTAGTCCCTAGATCTACCCCCCCTCCCCCCCATTTTTCTCCAGCCAGTCAGTTTGGGTTGGCTCACTGCCACAATTGACCATCAAAATGCAAACCATTCTTTGTCAAGAGATATATTGAGCTCTGAATTCTTCTGGAATCCATCTCTCCTGCTCGTGTTATTCAGATTTCATAAATTGATAGTAAAGGTGACTAAGGTTTGTTTTGTGTCTACGTCAGCTTGGGCAGACCAAAACAATCTTCCGTACTTCTCAGCTATTGTTCTTATTGCAACTTTAACACGCGGAAATTTCTTGTTAACAGTCTTCCTTTGAGCCAAACTGTGGATTGTTATGAGATCTGAGTCCTGCTTTTACGTCATTTTAGATAAAATAACTGCCATCATTTTTTTTATTTATTTCCCCTGAATTCATGTAACAATAATATCTAACTCATCCCCAGATGTTTTGAATACATTGAAGAGATGATACATAAGCAGGAGCCTATTGAAAATGTTCTTCGCCTTCTAGTGTTACTTTCACTTACAAATGCTGGGTTGCCAAAGAAGAATTTTGACTACTTGAGGTATGTTTATGTTACTTTTTGTGTATTGCTTTTGTTTGTATTAAATTTTATGACCATTATCAGTTCATATTTTTGCATCTAGGAGGATATAGTAGCCTTATGCTGACAATTAAGGCTGTGTTCGCCATTCCTTGTTACCAACCGGAACAGTACGCATGGAAAACAGAGCGATCCATTAGCGCGTGATTAATGAAGTATTAGCTATTTTTTTTTCAAAAATGGACTAATTTGATTTTTTTAAACAACTTTCGTATAGAAACTTTTTACAAAAGACGCACCGTTTAGCAGTTTGAAAAACATGCGCGTGGAAAACGAGGGAGAGGGGTTGGGAAAAGGGGGTGCCGAACACAGCCTAAATGTGTTGGCCAATCGTTTAGCCTTGAACATATATTTTTGTAGCTATCCGATCTATAGCTGTGTCTTCTAGCAATCTTAACTATTAGAAAACCACCTGAGCATTATCACCACAGCAACTGGTGGATTCACCCAGCATTACCTACTTAACCATGTAGCTAACTATTGGCAATAATATGTTGTTTTTGATGTCTGATGTGGACAATTGACAAGCTAATGTGTGCAATCTTATTAAGTTATAACATAACAGGGCTATATTTATGATTTCTTTCCATAATACTACTCCTAATGACCAAAATGATTTATTTATTTATTTATTTTACAATCCAAGAAAACTTGAGCACATGGAGCAATTGTTTAATGTATCATATATTTAACTTCATTATGTGCCAGTGTTTGTAAGTCGTAACATGATTTGGTTACTTTTGAAAGGCCCTTTAGAAATGTTGAAATTTTGTCCTGTGCCTAATGCAAATTGAATTGTTTTGATGTGAGAAAATTATGTATAATAAGATAATAATCATAGGCTATTGTTTGAGTTAATCTATTATAATATTGAATTGAGTAGTATGATGCATTATTTCCTATGTGAAAGGTAGAGGTTGTGAAAGGCCCTTTAGAAATGTTGAAATTTTGTCCTGTGCCTAATGAAAATTGAATTTTTTTCATGTGAGAAAATCATGTAGAATAAGATAATAATCATAGGCTATTGTTTGAGTTAACCTATTGTAATATTGAATTGAGTAGTATGATGCATTCTTTCCTATGTGAAAGGTAGAGGTTTTGCTGGCACTAGTATCCATATCCTTTTAAGACATAGATATTTTAAAACAATTTTGTATGCAAAATCTGTACAGTATCGATGAATACATCTCTCTCAAACTGTCACCCACCTATCTACACAGCTTTTTTGTCCCCTGGTGTTCTTCAATATTACACAATAGGCTATCCTTTTTTTCTTCTAATATTCCCTTAGAACAGAATTTTAATTCAATGTGAAAGATTCGAAGGTGGCCAAATTATCATGCATTTATATGTACTTACATGTTAAACAGAGGCAAAGACATGTTTGATGTACCAATCAAATTCATTGTGTAAGAATTTTTTGTTAATACGTGCATTTAACTAGTATAATATGAAGTACAATTGCCCATATGAACAGGGCTATCATAAGTAGGGTGTTGAAAACTGAATTATCTTGTTTTGCTAAGCACTGTCTTGGTTAATTTTTCTGCACAAGTGCGATACTGCTGCTGGAAGCATGCGTGCATAAACATCTCTTGCAATTACTGGGTCGAGGGTTCTAAGATACTATTTTATTCAGCTCTAGTAGTCATTGGGATCTACAGGAAATCATGGTATGCTTTATAGGAAGTACTACCTCTGTCCCATAACAAAACTACTTCTAGCTATGAATCTGGACATAGGCTATGCTCAGTTTGTAGCCAGAAGTTGGTTTTTTTATGGGACACAGGGAGAAATAACATGTTTGGCGTCATTAGGTAAAATATGGCATATTTTACGCACGCAAAAAAGAAGAAGGTTTACTGCTTTTTTATGTTCACTTACTAGAACCACTAATTCTGTGTATATCAAGTTATTGATTGACTGCTATAAATGCTATTTGGGTATATGTGATTTAGGACATGTACACGTCTCTTGGAATTTAATTGTGCCATGCCAGCAACATCAATCTTACAATAAGTCCTCAACATTGTCTTCTATCTGTTTTTGTGACCCTGGCCAGGCGGGAAATACTGCACAGTTATGGCTTTGAGCACATGCCCTTGTTATACAATCTGGAAAAGGCTGGCCTATTTAAGCGCCAGGTTAGTCAGATTGTCTCTACAACGAGATTTCTTGTTTTAGTCCTTTCCAGACCCTTAAATGGTGTTCTCATCTAACTTTCTACAGTATGCTGTTCTACTATGCAGGAATCAAGAAGTAACTGGATTGGTATTACAAGGGCTCTACAGCTTATAGTTGATGTAAATGATACTGCAAAGTATTAGCTTCTGGAAACTTTACATTTCCTACGCATTCATTTTTGTTCCATTTGCTAATGCTGTTACTATTTGGTTTCACACTAGATAAATGCCCTTGCTTTGCTACGGATAAAAGGAAAATATCACAATATTTCTAAAATAAATAAATCATATTTTCCATGAAATATGTTACCCACATTTTCCTAAAATGTGGCTATCCACATTAATTTTATATGTGGCTGTCCATTTCGATTTAGTTATGTATTTAAGAAGTTCATGGGGTAATATGTAAAAATTGCAATGGGAGTAGGTGGGGTGGCAGATTCACTGCCACCACTATTGCGGTCTTTTTAAAGGAGTACAGATATGCATGCTTGTTGCTTGGTGTCTGAAATTTTTGTTGACGCATTTATAAAAAACAAACAGATCATTGCCAATCATCTTTCCTAGTTTCTAGTGTCTTGGTTACATTATAAAACAACTATTACAGCAGGGTAACCAATGTTGTTTCGTTTGCTACCCTACCAAAATATTGGTAATGACAAAACCTAAGCAAGTTTTTGTATTACCAATATTTTTTTGGCCACATGTGTGTGTGGTTGACAAATTTTGGTAGACAGCGAAGCATTCCCAAAGTTCTATTTAAAATGCAAAAATTTTGGTAGTGCAAATTTTGGCTTCAAAATAAATATGCTCCAAATTGGGGGCAGTGGGAACACTACAAATACTGAAACTGGGGGTATGTTGTTTAATATGTTGCATAAGGCAGTATGAGCTGGAACTAATAAGAATTGTAGATAACTCACAACTGGAAAAATAGGATCATTCTGTTACAGAAAGCAACTAGAGTGTTTGGCTTAGATTATTCAGAAAGCTCTGCATTGCCTCTTGCTGTGTCATTCTTTGATATTATTATCTGACATATAGTATAATCATTCCTACTGCTTGCTGGGCAATCTTTAGTGACTAATTTTCTTGTCATTTATAATTGTTATCTTGGTCACGATAACAACTACTACTTACATGTTCTTGTTTCCGTTCTCAGCCCTAGTGATATATCATACATATTTTCTGGATACGCCCCTCTCAGTATTCGCCTTGTTCAGCATGCTGTGAGATCTGGATGGTAAGTTTATTGTCCTAATCTTCCTTTTTCATTGAGAAAGCTTTTTTCTTGTGTCTTCAACAGTTCCATGTAGAGAAATGAAAAACGGTGACTTGGGCTCTTGAAATCTTCTTGGATTCCAATTCGCATCCTTAACTAATAAGCCAGTTATTCTTCAATCTCAACTTTGAAATCCAGTCAAAATAACACATGAAACCTTATTCCATGGTTTATGTTGATATGGTGGTGGTTTTCGTTGTCATGACCTTCTATTGAGTTTCTTTGATGTGGACCCAACTAAGTGGTATCCATTTCAATAAAGCATGCATGAAAGGACTCTGCACTAACTAAAACCACTGCCATATGACTGTATCAACAAAAATAGGATGGAATGATTTGGATGTTCAGTGTGAAAAATGGACTTAGAGAAGAGTTCATGGCCAAACATAGATTCACACAATGAGAAATGTGTTCAATTTCATAGAAGCTATCTTTTTCTGGGAATTTGTTGTCCTGGAAACATAATTTCAGGTAAAATCAAAGAGAATAAAAGGGAAAAAACTCCTACTCTGTCTGGGAGTAATATAGTCACTATTACATATATGCTTCTATCCTAAAACGTTAGAGGAAAAAAAAATTCAACTTTTAGTGGGAAATAATTGTTCTTTTCTCTTGCATAAGATTTCACCTCTCCCATTTTCTAGGAAATCGGCTTGTAATTTTCTTCTTTCTTGCCTTTCCCTTATGGACTGCATTTTTTACAGACCTTATTGTTTACTTCTCTTACCACAACACCTGAGCAAAATGTATTGCTGCATATTGATTAGCCTGCTTTTGAACTTCCTCACATAACTAGTATGTAAGTTGTCTAGTTGTGTTAAGCAAGTGATTTGCTTGAGTGACCTTTTTTTTCTTGTTGCCATGCAGGCGATCTATTGAAGAACTGTTGAAACTATTGCCAGGTCCTCATCTGGATTTGAAAAGAGTGAGTGCATATTGTCTTTATGAAAAGCTTACTTTTGTAGAATTTTTTTTAAAAAGAATTTCTTTTATTTCTGTAGGGTAGTTCGGCCATTAATTCTTCATTGGATGTACACCAAGGTTTGGGGCTTCAACAGAGTATTGACAGGTAAATTTTCGTTTAGTTACATGGAATTGTTTTTCTGATTTCCAAAAATGATAGAAGTGGTAGAAGAGAATTGTGTTGGTTTATTTAAAGTTTACACAAAAAAGGTGGTTTCAGATTTAAATTCTGTATTCTATTCATGAAATTCTTTTGTTGTTTAGTAGTTATAAGTTTCTAGTTTATGCAGCTCAGCTACTTGCCATGTTGAGATGAGTTGGGTGACGTGAGTTAAGTATTTGTGTTTCCCAATTTCCCTAGACCTCATGAATGTACAATTGTGAGGACTACCCAGCGATTGATTTAGTAAATTTTAACCCAATAGGGCCTATTATTATTATTATTTTTTTTGAAACAGCCTATTATGTTTGTTAGGTGCTATCTTGCCCATTGCTACTGCCTTCCCTGATCCTCTGTTCTGCCTGCATAATTACACATACAAAAGCTGCTGCTCCCACTCTTTCTCTCTGTGTTATCTAGTGCTCACTGCCAGCCACAGCCAAAATCAATCCTTCAGTGTCCTGTTTAGGGCTCCAGTTGATGCTGATGGGCATGGTAACTTTGTGCACGAGATCTCCTTCATGTTTCTTTTGTATTTGTATAATTTATGCTGAATGTCAGGCTATCTGTGTAATCATTTTCTTGCTGGTTTCTTCTATTTAAGATTATTTGCTCTCAGTGGTGATGAGGGATTTATGAGAGATCTGATACAAACTTATGAGAGCAAACCAGAAACAGGGTCTGAGATCTAAGCTTCATTGTTTGTGTTATTGTCAATTCAAACTCTAGACTAGAGTAGTTAATGGATCATCTTGACTTTATTTCATCACTTGATACTGTGTTGCCTACCAGCAAGTACTCCAGAGCCCATCAGAAATTCAGAATAAGGAGGTTATCTATATTGATCCATAGCTCTTCTATCGCCTTGGGTCATCATCAATTTGACATCATCTGCTCCACTAAAATAGATTTCGCTGAAAACCAGCTATATCTAATCTTGGTTGGACTTTCACTCCTAGCTACAAGTCATCCCCATATTGTTCTCCATACATGGTCCTCAAAGGTCTGTTAGACCTCTAGAACCTTAAGAATTAACATGTTAGAATAGTACACAATTGTTTTGGAACTTCCATAGACAATCGAAAAGAAATTCATGAGCCTTATAACGTCAGATACTACATTGTTGAATTTTGTTTTTGTTTTTGCATTTACATGGAAAATACTGTTCTTGTCAAATTCCTAATACTTCGTAGCATGTTTCTTCTCTTCATCTGTTTTTATTCTAACGTGTGTTTGTTCTAGGGTTGGACATCGTTCTCTGGTTTTGGTTGTCTTTATTGGTGGGGTTACTTTTGCAGAGATTGCTGCTCTTCGATTCCTTAGTTCTCAGGTATCCTTTGCCAAAATAATTTATGTGTTTTAGATGTTCTCCTCAAATCGACAGTTCGACACCAAGATATTGTCAAGTTGGGATATTTTGAAATTCACATTAACATCTGTTCTACTTGTGTTCCTGGGAATATCTTTTTGGTACGCTCCTTCAAATAGTAACAATTAGTAATTATAGGTTAAATATATCCTTGATTCGCATTGTGGCTTTTTATAAGCCTAAATTACTCACTAACTGAACCAGTCTGCAAGGCTACGAGTATTGTCTGTTAGGTTGCTTCCCACACCCTGGCGGCGGCCCTTATGTGGAGGAATTACTACTCGCTTATGCTTTATTTAGTACACCGGCATCGTGCGTAAGATATTTCAGCATTCATTGTCATTCAGGAGCTTCGCGGTAGGTTAATTGATCTTTTATTAGAGTATGCACATATGGAGGGTAATCAAGCTGCTAATGATGAACAATGTAGTATCTGACGTAATAAGGCTCTTGATTTTCTTTTCGGTTGTCTATGGAAGTTTAATGCCCCTCATGAATAATGAAATAGAGCTCCTGATCAGGGAAAAATGGAAGTTCCTTATTTTTGTGACTTCTATCTACTCGCAGGAAGGGATGGGCTATGACTTCCTTGTTGCGACCACAAAGGTTGTCAATGGGAACACAATACTCAGGCCAATTATAACCAATAGCAAAGAGGTGATGATATAGAGTAAATAATCTTTTGCTGCACATCCTTTTCTTTTCTGATTGTACTCTCACACACCCGAGCTCCACTTGGTTCTCATAGTTGTTACGGCTCCCTTGTATGTTCTCAAACTGAGTGTATATATTTTAACATCTGTAGATCTTTCTAGATTAAAATTCCGCATTCTAGTTTGGCATTTCAGTTCTCTATTGCCCGTTTTCATTTTCCTTTTCTACCTCTTGTTGAATGTGCAAACTTGAACGACACCAGTTATTTCTCTTTCAAATCCACTGTATTTTGCATCTGTGCGTTTTGTCATCGGACAATTCATTTCTGTAATACGGCACTATCTGTTCTAGACACATTTTGCAGCTTGATTTGTACCAAAAGTCCCTCAAAGGCGTTTTGGACCATGACTTGACTATTAACCGCAGATTTCGCTGGAAAAGAAGGGCATAGAACGGTTATATTTTGAAAAAAAAGGAACATAGTTTTGCTTGCCCCGTAAAATACAACTGGTTGTGGGCATGATTTTCGTTGCTAGGTCGACGCTGGGAAAAAGGAAAGTACACATCTCCAATGCTAAAATAGTTACAAATACGTAGTGCTTATTAGAAACGTACTCACATAATACCCAACTAAGGTGGTGTTTTGGATTCACGGATTAAACTTTAGTCTCTATCACATCGGATGTTTGGACATTAAATTGGAGTATTAAACATAGAGTACTTACAAAACTAATTACATAAATGAGAGGTAATTAGCGTGATAATTTTTTAACCCTAATTAATACATAATTAGTACATGTTTATTTCAGCATCACATAGGCTAATCATGGATTAATTATGCTCAATAAATTCGTCTCACAAATTAGTCCATATTTATGGAATTGGTTTTATTAGACATAGTCCCATCTAAACAGCCTCTAAAGCACTGATGAATCCGTGGAAAGAATAAAATGTTAGGCAAGTAAAATAAATGAAAAAGAAAAGAAAAAAAATCAGGCGTCTCCACTCCATGCCCGTAGATGTTTACTCCCTTCTTTTTCGTTCTCCCTTCTTTTTTTCTCATCTCCTGCTGCCTGCTTGGATGCTCCTATGTGTTCAGATGCTCCTATACGATGTATATGCTTATAACGAGCAACTTCGTTTTTAAACTTCAATTTTTTTTTCTTCTATTTTACTTATCCAATTAACAATATAATCATACTGATGTATTTGTTATAATTAAATCTTTACAACAAGATTTTACTTAATTGTATCCAAATTATTTTTTAAACATATACAGTTTTATTTAGATGTTATATTTTCTTAATGTTTCACTATTTCATTTATAAATGGTGCATGCTATGTTTTAATAGGTCTCATACTGTCTAAAAATGTTTTAGCAAAATTACTTATTATTGTGAATATATTTTGTGTTTCACTAGTTGGGACTAGTTGTAATCAGTATTTTCTGTGGTGCAGCTCTTTGAAACTAATTTGATCAAATGATGAAATAATTCTTTTATAAACGGTGAAACAACGTTTGATTTTTTTTTGTCAAAATATAACCACATGGGATCTTATTGCAAACATTTAATTGTAACAAATATAATGATTTAACCGTAGATTGGATAAACAATTTATTAGATAAAATCATTTATAGTTTGAAAAAAATAAGTGGTGTGCATGCATGCAACATTGAGAGAGAGAGAGAGAGAGAGTGCTAGAAGTGCTAGAGGGGCGTTTGGTTTTTGGGAATATGTTGGATGTCTACCGTGTAGGCGTTAAAAAAAAAAGACATACACAATATATTGAAGCCGAAGCCGGACATGCATAATACATCGAAGCCGAAGCCATTAGAGTTGCTCACAAAATTGACGATGTTGTGCCTTGTTGTATTAGGGTAATAGATATGTAACATGGCCTAGTTTCAATCCCCTAGTTAGCTTAATCGCGTTGGATCACAATATTTGTTCGTTTAGATTAGAAATAAGTCCATTTTAACTCCCTCAAGTATAGGTCAAATATATCCCTCAACCATAATATGAATCTAAACTATTAAAATTGGTGTAGAATTACTTTCTCGTTAGTTTTGAGGGTGTGATTTTCGTTAGCGTGGTTCGTTGATCAATCCAACTAGCTAAGTCAACGTATGGGGACCACATTTCAATCACTCATCTTCTCTACTCTATCCTCTCATCGCCTGGGTAGGATTATGGTTATCGCTCGTCATCGCCTACACCGGTCGTTGTTACTCGCTGCTCGCCACCACCCCCTACTTTGAGATGGATAGAGATCACTACCTGCAGCCTCTTCGGCCGTTGCCAAGGTGTGAGAAGAAGAGGGTCAAGGAGACTCGGAGCTTGTCGCCCACAGCAACCTCGCCCACCGCCATGTCATGGGAAGTGGAGAGAAGGCAACGGCGAAGCATCGATGATAGAAGCTTACCGACCACGCTGCCTATATTCACTGAGAGAGTCATTTTACACCAGTTTTAATAGTTGGGAGTCAAGATATCCTAATAGTTGGGAGTCAAGATATCCGGTATTGCAGTTGATGGATACAAACCAGATTGGACTAGTAAGTTAAAGTGCAATATTATAAGTTCGCTTTAGGTTCCTCAATTTGTTACTGAGTCCGAGACTCAGTAGGTCCCACTTGTGTCAACCAAAACTGACCATTATATTATATTTGGTTCAAGATGTTATTTTGAGTTGTGAGATGAGCTGTACCGACGAATCTCAGACTCGATAACAAATTAAGGGACCCAAGTAATCTTATTGAAGTGCAATTATACCTTTAGATTGTATATACATGGGCCATAAATCAGTATGGGCTGAAAACACACTTAAAAAGGCCGAAAAAGAAACGCCGTTGCCGGGGATCGAACCCGGGTCACCCGCGTGACAGGCGGGAATACTCACCACTATACTACAACGACATGCTTGAGGCAAAAATGCTCCTAAAACTAACGTTTGTTTCACTAACACTGTAGCAATCGTCGTCCTAAAAATCTTTTGCCTATTCAACGGTTCAGAAACTAGTGACTGTATGGAAGCAGCAACAAGTCCGTTCCAGGTAAAGATATTAAAATTTATCCACAAATATAAGAATTTATAGAGTACTACCTACCATTCACAGAATTCATAGGGTACTACTTCTCATTTACTCCTTTCTGAGTGAATTACACATTGGGCTACCTCTTATTACCAGAGTTACACATTGGACTAGGGGCAAAGTAATATTTGCACTTTGCACTAGACAACTTCACACAAGTTTCAGATTGGACCAGTGTTTCCTCAATCTCCCTTCTCTTCTCTTCCTCGTTGAGCTCGTTGAGCTGAAGCCACTATACGTGAGCTTGAGTTTGAGCACTACCATGTCCTCCCTTGTATTGATAGCTAAAATTAGCATGCTAGGTGAGGTGATACGATTAGTTTAATTTGGTCATTAGCATACTAATGATCATTGATAGCATAACGAGAACATGTTAGGAGAGATGATAATAGCAGCAAAGAGAGGGGCAACGGTGATGGGCTGCCTGACTTGGAGACGATGAGGGTGTGGTGAAGAGTGAAACAAATGGCAAGGTTATGTAGTCCAAAGTGAAAATCATGACTAAGATCCTGTCCAAGCTGCAACAAGGGTAAAAAATACATGACCCAAACTGCAATTTACTCCTTTTTTATCTTAGTTCAAACTACAATCTCAACTAGCAATTTATAGAAAATTTATAGAAAAATAGTTCACATCTACAATACTAAATAAATGCACTGTCAAGACTTATTTTATGGTGGATTTTAATTAAACTAGTTTGATGTTGGAGTGAAATGCATGGTCGGTTCTTATAGTTACACGGTGGTATCACCTAGGTCCCACATCGTGTAAAATACATAATTAGATTCATAATTTTGGTTTGATGTATCACAATAGGCCCAAACCTCGTTTGACCATGTATGACTGCACTACTGATGTGGCGCTCCACTGGCACACATTTTGCATTTACCCCCCTCCCCCCAACAATAGGATGGGTTGCACAAGAGAGTAGACGCTAGACAGTGAACACAAGTGTGGATCCAGCCATGTCCACTCTTAGCGATGCCGGTGGTGGTCAGGTGCGGCGGATGAGCAAGGTAATGGAGGTTCCATCACCACCGATGCATAGGGTGGCTAGTGCAGAGCTTGGAGGCCAGGGATGGGTGGGGCAGCGTAGTGGTGGTGTGAACCTCCTCCTCTTCACGTATATCGCCCCCTTCTCTCCTCCCCCCTCCTGATGTAGCCACCAGTGCACACCTCCACCTGTCCGACAGCGCAGAGGCAACGCCGATGGTCGCTAGCACCATGTCTAGTGTGGCTGGTGCTCAGGCATGGTGGACCCGTCGACGGCTTGTGCGATGCAGAGGCGACTTCATGTTCATCCCACACTGTTGAAGCTCGTCGGCAGGGCCGGCGGTCAGGCACCATGGATCCACATCGATGTTAGTTGTCCCCTCGATCTCCTTCCCTCTAGATCAAGCGGCAATGTAGTTTGGTGTCATGGGATTCGCTGATGGCAGAGCTCGAGGTCTTCATCACTGCACTGGTTCCTCTTTTGTGCACACCTCTATCTGTTTCACCCCAATGTATATCTTCCTCCATTGGCTTCACCGCTGGTGTTCATTGCTCGCCCTCTTGTGCAACCTGTCCTCCCTCTGAGAGGGCTGATTGCAAAAATATGTGCTAGCATGGAACACCACGTTGACAATTGTACATGGTCAAAAGAGGTTTGGACCTACTGTGTTAGGTCATGGAGCTAAATATGCATTTTTACAATATAGGGATATAAGTGACACTACAATACAACTTCAACCACCAGCCATGTATTTTTACTCTTGACGTTATCTTGATGTATTTTTCCACAAACTTGATGAAAAGGTATTTTGCTTTTGAAACAACAATAAAACACACTACAATATGAAATAGAGGGAGTACACCTAAGTGGATTCGGAATTGGCTGCATTTGAAAGCTCATTTATCTTTTACAACTCCCTCGTTTAGCACTAGCACACTTTAACTATTAAACGATACATTATTTGCAAAGTATTTTATATAGAAGTCCTTTTAAAAATCAAATAAACCTATTTTTGAAATTTACAACCGTAAATATTTAATTAATTATATGCTAATGGAATTTCTTATTTTCGTGTGCGGAAAAGAATATGAGGTTTCAAACATAGCATCATGTTCACAGCAGTTCGTGTGCTTCTACTTCAAAAAAGAATATGAGAGGGTGTGTTTAGTTCACGTCAAAATTGAAAGTTTGGTTGAAATTGGAACGATGTGACGGAAAAGTTAAAAGTTTGTGTATGTAGGAAAGTTTTAATAT